CTAGGTAGCAGGCGGCTTGTGAACGCTGCAGTGTTGGGGCGCATGGAGCATCCCACACAAGCGCGGGGGGCTCCCCAGCACACTCAGCAGCAGACCCGGAAGTGGACCTGAAGCACTTCCGGGTCCGCCGAGGAATGAGCTGCCCCCCGTCCTTCCCTCACGCCCACCCTGCTCAGCAACTGGTGCCCCCTGGATCTGGGGGGACACCCAGTGTCCCACCGTGGCTGATCACTGAGCTAGGGAGGTGCAGGGGGTGTGGGGGGGCCCCTCCCCCACACTGCTGTGGGATGCTCCATCCGCCCCAGCATTGCAGCGTTCACAAACCGTGCTGGTACCTCAAAGAATGTAGAAAAAATATTTAAAGCTATGTCTATTGTTGAATCACTGATTCTGTGAATCAGCATCAAATCTTCAGATTCGGGATCAGCTGAATCGAATCAGGGACAGTGATCTGAATCAACAAATCAAATCACTGTCCCTGATTCGGGCTGAGTCAGAATCCAAATTGAATAGGGCCCACTTCGCACACCCCTAGTGTGCAGCTGTGCTTTTTGGTTTGCTAATATTTAATTTATTGTTTTGTAGAGCACTTTGGAGGTACCCAGAGAGTGGAAGGTGCTACATCAATTTTATCTTTCCCCTTCTGTATCTTGTTCACAGGAACTGAGAGAGTTACATGCTCTTCCCTGTTGATGATGTGACTCTATGTTTGATATTTCCCCTCTTCTTGCCTCAAAAAGTAGAATAAGCAGCTTACCACTAGCTTGAGAGAATGACTTTTAAAATGTGTCACAAAAATATAGGCTGTCTTACTGAAATCTAATGGAAACATAAATATTTAACATACTGGTAGATATAAATTATCATGCAGCATATCCCACTACAGCCCCAAGGGCATTCTGCTCCCCCCCTCCCCCTTTTAGATTTCAGAGCAAATGTAGTGCTGGTAAAACGTGCTGTATTGATATATCTGGAGACTGAAGCCCTGTCCTTATTCACAGAATAGGAAGGTCATGGGCAGTACCAGGAGGCTTCTCCCGTTCTAACCCACCAATGGGTTTCTATACTGACTCAGTTTCCCAGGGGCATTCTTTCTCTGGTGCCTCTCCAAAATCTGCCTGTCATACTTTTATTAGTAGTATTATTATTATTGTACTGAGACTCACCCATTCTTTTCACAAAAATCACTTGAACCTCAAAAAATTCACTTTTAGAAATTAGTGCCACAAAATGTGAAGAAGTGTTATAATGAACCTGAACTCAAGTGATGCTGCCCTTCCCCAGCCTTATACGCCAGTGACTTAAAAAAACCTACTTGGAAACAGCTCTGAAAGTTAATAAAGTTTCAGTGGTAAACTATGAGAGGCCTGAGAATTTCAAAGTAAAGTTATTGCACCAGTAACTCAGAAAAGCAATTCCTAAAACTCTGACGCATTTATCCAGAGGGTTAGTGGTAGCACAGAAATGGAAATCATTGTTGAGAGCCACCGTGTACCTGAAATTAAAATCCATCAGTCTTTGTGAAACTGTGAGGAATACATTTCATGATATATAGATGCTTGTGCTTTCACAGAGCAAATTGCATCCAAAGCTAGCTCATCCCACTTATACAAAACTTAATTATCTTTTACTGATAACTAATTTAAAGGGGGTCTAATTCAAGATTCCACTTCCTTAAAATGGGGACTAAGTGAAGAAGAGATCTGGTTTAAAGAATGGAATATGATTAAGTGTCCATGATTTTTCTTTAATTTAACTGAAAACAGAATTTTTAAAAATAGAAGTAAATAACATCTTATACAGTTGGAAGCCCAAATGCAAATATCTTGTACTAGTATGAGAGCCAGGAAGTAAAACTGACTATAAACAAGAAATGAAAACTAATCATTCTCATTTCATTATTAGAAGAGCAAAAAAGAGAAGGGAGAACTGGTATAAATAGTGGGAAATAATATTGATTTTCTCATATAGATTTGCTGAGAATTTAATAATCTAAGTTGGTGTTTAGTAATATAGGTAAAGAATTTAAGATGATATAGCAAGCTCATGAGCTCTTGAGAAAAAGTGCTACATCCTGTTGTTGCTCAAATCTTTATGACGACTGTGGAAAGAAATACCTTGCTTCAGAAACATTGGCCATGTCTATTGAAATTAAGGAGGAAATCTTTTAGGTATTAGCAGTGTTGAGCCTATGATAAACCATTGGTCAATCTGGATCTTACACAGCATGAAGCATTGGTGCATACATATATTCTTATTAGTTTATTAACTACATACTAAAGTGAGAGATATCCACACATGGATGATTTTATTCCCCTTTAAGGATACTGTCTGAAGTTGGTAACACCTCATTTCAGGCAAAATAGTTTTTACCTGGATGTAGAAATCCTGTAAACTATATAGTTTCTTTTCTCTCAGCATCTGCTTCAATGCTACTTTTAACAATGGCAGATGACATGGTAAAACCTCAGAGGTGGACCAATATGGCACAGCTGCCACATACAGTCCAGCTTCCAGTTGCCACCATGCAATCACCGTTGTGATCATGTGGTTGTGGTTGAAGCCATTTTTCCCCCTCTCCACCTCCAAGTTAGTGTCCAGGGTGGCTGCCTTGTATGCCTCAGCATGGTTACACCACTGGATCCAGAGAGGGTGTAGCAGTGCAGCCATGCCCTCCTTTTGGACCATTCTACAGGAGCAGCAGCTGGGGACATTAAGTCCCTGAAGCATGTAAAAATCTACCCACCCTTTCTCTCCATACTCAGCAGAATGTCCCCTTCATTTCCATTCCCCACCTCCCCTGCCCAACACTGCTGCTGTCTCTGCTCTCCTCAGCTGACCTGGGAGTGTGGGGAGCTCTAGAGCTTCTCCTGTCCTGCTCTAGCCAGGCTGCTTGGGGAACTGGGCTCAGCTGGGGACCCTGCCTTGTTCTCTTTGGTTTTCCATGCCCTGGGAGCAAGCTCAGGAAAAGGGAACCATCTGCCACTGCTACTACTGTCCCCAGCTAAGCCTGGCTCCCAAAGCAGCCCAGCTGGAGTGGGGCAGGGCGGCCTCTGAAGCTCTCTGTGCCCCCAGGTCAGCCAGGGAGAGTGGGGACAGTGGCATCAGAAGGCAGGGGAGGGGAGGAATGGGAGGAGAGGAGAAAGGAGTGGGGAACATGCTGCTGAGCATGGAGGGGAGGGGAAAGCATGCTGAGAGTGGGAGGAGCCAGGATTCTGACTGTCCCCAGCTGCTGTTCCTGCAATTTGATCTGCCTGCCCCAGTTTGGGGGGAAGCTGGGAGGGTGGATACAGCCACACCTGCAGTGCCTGTCACTGTATCCCCCTTTACAGAATCCTAGATCCATATCAGAGAGAAGCATTTGTGTGTGCAGCCCACCTACAGCAACTACCCACCATGCACCAGAGTGATGGAGGACCTCAACTGGGAAAGCTTTCTGTTTCAGGAAGCAATTATGAAAGAGATAGTGATTCTATGCTGCAGAACCTTATCTTGCTTCTGACTCATGATGTTAACTTGAAATCATTGTAATGTCCCTCAAATAATCATAATATTGCTATTTGATGATGACCTAAAGAAACACAGTAGGTTTTTTGTTCTTTCCTTTAAAAAACAGTCAACCACAACTGCAGCTGGAGTTGTATTGAGAATTTTCCAACAGACTTTACTGGCCACCTGTTCTCTTATTTGTGTCCAGCTGATCAATTACAGTAAGCTAAAAAAGGAATCTTATATGCTTCTAAACTTGGTTATGTACGCATTTAACCTGGAGTAACAGAGGAATCTGCCTAGTGGCTATCAAATAAAATGTGCCATCATCCAGGGAACTGAAGATGACCTGTTGTACCCAGTAAAAATTTCACAGGTACACATCACAGCCCCCTATCACAAAGTATCCTGCAGCAGCTGGCACAAATTGACATTTTTATCAGGAGCCAGCATACAGCAACCAAGAATGAAATGGGCCACAAAGAATGAGTTATCCAACCTTTTGTCTGTAGAGGTATTTCCCTGTAGGTTAGAATGGTGGTAGGTTTGGGGAGGTTTTGGGAGACGTGCAATTTTACTCTTTGTTTTTTGAGCTTAGCTATGGACAAGGAATATTAGGACCAAATTCAGAGGTGATGATGTCTAAGAAGCTGTTAGACCCTAAGAACTGAGTGTAAGGGTATCTAAATAGGTGTAACTTTTATGATGTGTGGAAAGCAAAGTGGACTGCAGCAGCAAACCCAAGTAACAGGAGGGCAGAATATATGCTAACGATCACACCTCACATGACAACTTCTTTCCAGGAATATGTAGATTCTGCTCCTGCTTCCGCTTGCTTAGCCACATGTAGTTTACATCACCTCAGAATTTGAACCTTAATTCTAGGGCCATTTATTTAGGGTTCTAAAAAGAAGTGCAAAATACAAACCAAGAAGGGAAATGGGCCAGTTTAATTTTAAGCCTTGGACCCATTTAGAGGTTTGTCGGCCGGATATTAACAAAATATATTACATCAAATGGAGATATGAGACTGGAAATTATAGCTATTCAAGAGCCTCCTGAGACTGACTTATTGTTTGAATCTAAATAACAGACTTTGTCAGTGAGAAGCAAGGGGGAGTGGTGTTTAGTGAAGGCGTACATGTGTGCAACAGATTTCACAGCTCCCTTTGCTAAAGGAACTTGGGCTTCTTTTAAGCAGCAAGAAGACATCCGCAAAAGATCTTGGAGCTGAAAAGTGTGTCCAAAGAGAGCAATAATCTGTCATTAGCTGGTGTGACACATTTGTCAAGATGTCTCAGCTGTGTGGATACCTTTATGCTTAGAGACTTGCTTTTGAGAAGTCTAAGGAAGGGAAGGCCACTGGGAGGAGGGGAGGGGCAATTTTAGCAGGACAGTATGGCCAGCCAGCGATGGAGCTACCACTTCGGGGCATCTGCTCTTTGTAAAATGGCCTCTTTTCTTACCACTTTTGTCCTTTGTTCTCTCCTCCTGCTTCGCAATGAGACCAGATGGGTGCTGCTTCAGAAAAGAGTTGGACGTCTTGAGAAACCTTTTCGGATCTCACTGGAATATGCAGCTAGTGGGAACAGAAGCTTAGCTGCTGTGGATTCTTTTGCAATAAAGAACTGCACTGCAGGTAACGTATTATCTTCCATCCTTCTAGCTCCTTCTTCATTTGGTTGCCTCTGTAAGCAGGAGAGGGGCTTTTGTCAGTTATATCATCTTCATGTAGTAGAAAATGTCTTATAGATAACTGATTGAGCTGGCTGGAAAACAAAAGAATGAGACTTGAGCGAATTTTAGTTTTGCATAAGGATGAAGGAAAAAATGTGAACTTCTTAATGGAAAGGTGTTTCCAGAAAAAAATCCCTTTCGTTTTGAGAGAACCAAAGCAGCTTGCCAGCTGCGTGGCTGGAGGTTGTTGTCAATTTTTCTTTCTGCCCTAGAAAGTGAAACTGGCAAGCACTAACTTTTCAGACCGCTTGAGAAATATTAATTTGGTTTTAACAATGGAATGCTTTAACTTGTTTTGGACAAAACTGAAATCTCTCTGCAGAAAATATTGATTAAAATATGACTAGGAAATATTTATTAGGAAAATTGTTGAAAGGCGTTGTAAACACTTTGGATTTTTTCCTTGTCTCTTGATTATTGTTTGTGTTATGCTATCCAAAAGCCAATCACAATCAAGGGCCCATTGTGCAATCTCATAAGAAGCTGGTCTGTACATTCCACATAGAGGCAAACTGCTGGGGTGTTCAATGTACAAGGTACACCCATGAGTGAGGCACCTGCTACTGAAATGTACAGTGCATTCTTGATCTCTCAATAACATAGAAATATATGGTATTATTTTGAGTCAAAGGAGTATATAATATTTTGCACCAAAGGAGGAATGAATCTATTATTATGTATATACATTGCTAACTGTTGGCTACATCCCCATTCTGCATACAGTGTATGAATAATACCCACAGGAAAAAAAGCTTGATTTTTTTCACTTGGTGGAGACTGTTAAGCCTTCTGGAGGCAGCTGAAAATGTGCTACCATATCCTGTTACAAGAAAGAAAACAGTGATGAACAGTAGAAGATGAGCTTAAGCTAAGAGGGAACAGGAAAAGCAATAAGAAAACATTTACCTATATCTAATCATTTTGCAGCTGCTGGAAATCAACAGCTTAGGTGGTTAGATACCAAAATGATGAGTCCAAGGGAAAAGGTCTGTTTGGGAAATAACATTTCGAGAAGTAATATTAATAAGCAATTACCTAATGTCTTTAATTGACGGTTTGTCCCCTTAACGAAGAATTATCTTTAACTATATACATTTTCTGTTACAAAATAAGGGACAAAAATTTTTCAGGACGTGGTCATGAGAGAGAAGGATGTCTTGGATGCAGATTTATGTCTAAACTGGATTTAATGTAGATGAGGAATTAAGGTGAAGGCTTGTGTTTGGACTTGAAGGTGGTGAAATATCTATAAAATTCTGCCTGGATCTGAATAGGAATCAAAGATATAGGGTATGTCCCACATACTTTGAGAGTAATAACTGTGCCCCACCAGAATTCAAAGGAGTTTTGGCATGAACTTCCCAGCTTGGTTTTGACTCTAAGAAGATGATGTGGCAATTATAAAATATATAGTTGTCTCTTGCCATAAAGATTTTTTAGTATGGAGGGCTGCAAGAAAATAAGGATGATAAGGAATGGAAAATGAATTGAAGAAAAGATAAAAACAGAGCAGGATCAATGATGGAAGGAGGAAGTAATGTGGAGGCTGTTACAGTGTAATCCTTGATTTTTTATTTTTAACTGTACTTGATCAGAATTCCTGGCCAGCTGAATTTTAGTTATGTCCCCTGAGATCATACTGTGCCAGTGCTTTGCCTGCATTGGGCTCTTGATAACTCTCTTGTCTTCCTCCAATACTAAAGAAGTATTAAAGTGCTGACAAGTTTTGGCCACCTACTTTCAAGCCTGTGGTAGTCAAATTAAAATGACAAGGGAAAGGAAAATCCAGCAGTTTACGGCTGTCGTTGTTATTGTCATCATCAGATGTAGTGTGTCAGAACTACCTAGAAGTGCATGTCAGAAATCTTATCTTCCTACTGCTACCACTACCACCATTCTCATACATCATGTCAGTCCCACTGACTTTGCTTCAGTAAAGGCCCCCAATCACGTATTTAATGTTCTTTGGGTTTGTCAACAAGGCTTCTGTGGACAGGTCCTCCCCACTCTACCTCTACCCACCTGCTCGTGATCCGATGTACCTAACCCAGGAATGAGCCATAGAAGTTGCTCCAGGGACATCCATCAGCAGCCACTCTCAAGATCTCAATCTCTGGAGTACTTGACATTGGGGGAGGGGGGAACAGGTGTCTCCTTAAAATGGCTTCACTGACACATTTCTGGGGTAGGTGGAACAGGATCTGCCCACCAGTGCATGCCCCCCAGCAATGCAAGCACAGCATAAGTATATTCATTAATGATAGGAGGACTTAATTATTTGTGTAAGTCTTCACCTCGGTACTAATTTTTTCCTGAATCAGAGAGTTTGATTTCTGTGGGTTTTGCATTGACTTCAGTGGGCTTGGGATCAGGCTCTTTTAAGTAGCAACATGCTCCATAGTATTAGCTGGCTAACAAATCCAGTATTAAATGCAAAACAGATTGTGCTAATCAGTCTGCAGAGCTAAACTAATAATTCCCTAATTTTTACATTCACAATTCCTTAACCATTTCCTGGTTAGCACAATAGATGCACCCTAACCACAGAAACCATTACAATTTTTTTTAAAGTAATAACACACATTGGTAACTTTTTAATAAAAATTTGTCCATTTTCCAATTACACTAATTGTCACAACAACATTTTATAATTGGTGGCAATTCCTAGTAATAAAAACAGGTAGGGTGTGGATGGATGTAACGCTTAGAACAGACTGAATTTTATTAGTAGATGTTAATAGTTATGAACCAAAAAGATGACAAAGCCAGTAGGGAAATACAGAGCACCTGAGCGAGGGGATAACATAAGAGGAATGAGGGTGGGGAGGGGAACGCAACTGGGTTATAGAAAATACAGTGTTAGCCAACTAAGCCTGGGGGGTGGGGGAAGGGGAGGAAGGGGGTTCATGACGCTGAACAAGAAAGAAGATAGATATGCACAAACCTGTACAATGGTCCACAATGGTGGGGGGAGTAGGTTGAAGAAAGTTTCTCAATCCATATAGAGATTCATCATAGGAGTCCTCTTCCGGTGGAGTGGAGTGGTCTGTAGTTGAAGATTCCTCTCGAAGTCCATCAGGTGCAGAGGGGGGGTCCAGGCGGCCCCTCTGGGTCTGGTCCAGCGGTGGTCAGTCTGGCAGGGTCATTGTATTGGCAGTGGCCCGTGATGTGCTCTACGCAGATGTCACGGGACCAGCGGATCATGTTGGACACCATGAGGCAGCACGTCAGCTTGGTGTAGCGGCCAGAGATGCGGCAGGCAACGCAGGACACTATCATTGCTTGGGTCCCAGGCTCCGAGCGTTCCCATGAGGAGTGCATCAACCTTCTACATACAGTCAAAACCTAAGGGACTAATCATATGGAGACCACTTTAGACCAGTTTAAACTTCCTGGTACATTTCAAAAGCACACCAGGAAAATCAAGTACTATTTTGAGCTGGTCTTTGTTACCAGTGCAATGTTATGTGTGGACACAGAGAATTCTGTGCCTAGTGCCTTGTTCATTCTCCAAGTATCCCAAACTGCACTGCTTCTCACCCCACTCCCAAACCCATGCAGGACAATGGAGCTGCTCTCAGATGTAACCAGGACTCAACTTCCCAAAGATCTGTTGCCTACAGAGACCACAGTCTGGAGAGGTAGGGAAACAGAAAGCCTCTGTGTCAGTTTGATTTTCGTGATAGGTGTTAGGACTGCATTTATGACCCAGATACCTTGTTCTGGATGGACCCAAACCCTCAGACCAACCACAACTTCTTCCATTTGATAACAGGCAAATTTTATTGATACATAGTGATAGCAGATAAGAATAATGCAAGCAAGGCAAACAAAATCCTGCCGCCCCCCCATTCTGTATCTTCTAGTTTTATGGTCTAGCAAGTATTCACCCTGTGGTTCTTTCTGGAATGTCAAATGTCAGCAGCCTTGGAGGTTGAGGTCCGAGGCCTGCCCCCCTGTGGGGTGCTTGAGACAGGCTGGTGGTGTGCCCTCTGTCCATGGTGGCCTCAGGATCCCCCCCTTGGGGAACTTTTGCTGCTCTGAAATCCCTTCTTTTGTATTCTCTCTCCTCTAATGATGCTTCACTTCCAGGTACTGTTGATTGATGTCCCTGTGGTCATTGTACTGTCCATGTTCTGTTCTGTCAGTGTATTCATAGTTTCATAGCTGTTAGGGGCTGGAAGGAACCTTACAGATCATCGGGTCCAGCCCCCTGTGCACATGGGCGGGAAAGACTGCTGGGATCAAACAATCCCAGCAAGATGGGCATCAAGACATTTTTTAAAGATTGCCAGGGTGGGTGGCTGTACCACTTCTTGGGGTGTGCCTGTTACAAACCCTGAGTCTTCTCTTCTCCAGGCTGAACAATCCCAAGTCCCTCAGCCTCTCCTCATATGCCTTGGTCTCCAGGCCTCTAATCATGCATTTGTCCTTCCTCTGGATTCTTTTGAGCTTCTCCACATCCTTGAGGTGCAGCGCCCAGAACTGGATGCAGTACTCCAGTTGCAATCTTACTAAGGCCAAGTAAAGTGGGAGGATGACATCCTTTGCCTTGCTCAAGATGCCTCAGTGGATGCATGCCAGCGTTTGGTTACCTCTGTCAGCTACGGCATTGTATTGGTGGCTTATGTTCATTTTGTTGTCAGTCATGACACCCAGGTCTTGTTCAGCTGTGATGCTGGCAAGCAGAGCATTGCCAAGCCTGTAAGTGTGTTGTGGGTTATTTCTCCTCAGATGGAGCACTTTACATTTCTCTGTATTAAATTAGATCAGGTTGAGGTCTGCCCACTTCACGAGCCTGTCCAGGTTGGCCTGTTTTGCCAGCCTGTCTTTGAGTGTGACAATGCTTCCCCGTAGCTTGGTGTCATCAGCGAACTTTATCAGATACCTTGTAATACCTGA